GATCCATTTGAGTTAATTTTTGTATATGGTTTAAGTATGAGTCCAGCTTCATTCTTTTGCATGCGAATATCCAGTTTTCCTAGTACCATTTGTTGAAAAGACTGACCTGGAGAACATTATGCTAAGTGAAATAAGCCAGTCAGAAGAAGACAAATACCCTATGATTTCACTCATACGTGAATCTAATGAACAAACTGAACTAACAAGCAAAATAGACTCATAGAAAAAGGGCAGGCTGACAGCTGGGAGGGAGGATTGGGGGTGGAGATATCAAGCTAAAAACAAAAGGGACTCATGGACATGGACAAGTGTGGTGATTTTGGGGGGTGGTGAGGGGTAGGCGAAGTTGGAAGAGTATATAAGGAGGATAGATGGTGATGGGGAAAAGTACAATAAAAATGAACTCTTTAAGAAAAGAGAGACTGCTCTTTACCCCATTGAGTAGTCTTGACATTGTTGTCAGATATGTTGAGATATTTTCCTTCTAGTCATAGTTCGTTTGTTGAGTGTTTTTATTATGAAAAGATTTTGAATTTTGTCAAATGCCTTTCCTGCATTAGTTGAGATGATACGTGTTTTTTTCATTCATCCTGTGCATGTGGCATATTGATTATATGTGCCTATATGTGCCACATGTTATGTTGAACAGTCTTTGGATTCAAGGAATAAATCCCATTTGTATATAATCCTTTTAATATGCTGCTCAATTTGGCTTGCTAGCATTCTTTGAGGATTTTTCCATCAGTGTTCAGAAGGGATATTGAGTTACAGTTTTCTTGTGTCTTTGTCTAACTTTGGTATCAGGGTAATCCTGGCCTCACAGAATGACTTTGGAATTGTTGCCTTCTCTTCAGTTTTTCCAGAAAATTTGAGAGTGTTGGTATTAGTTCATCAAATGTTTAGTATAATTTACCAATGAAGCCATCAGTTTTCAGGGTTTTTCTTTATTGAGAGACTTTTGACTACTGGTCAGTGTCTAATAGTTATAGGTCTACCGAGATTTTTAAATTTATTTCTGACTAAGGCTTGATCTGTTTTGTTTCTGGTAATTTGTACATTTCATCGAGGTTATCCAATTTGTTGCCATACAATTGTTCATAGTACTCTTATAATACAGTTTATTTCTGTAGAATCAATAGTGATGCTTACACTTTTATTTCTGATTTTTTTTTTCATAATTTACGTCTTTTCTCTTGGCTACATGTAACTAAAGGTTTGCCTGTTTTTTTATGCTTTTCTCATAGAACCAACTTTTGGCTTCACTGATTTTTCTCTGTTTTTCTGTTCTCTCTTTTATCTCTACTGTTGTCTTTGTTTCCTTTTTCGGCTAGGTTTGGGTTTAGGTTTTATTTTTTTTTCTAGTTACTTAAGGTGTAAAATTATATTATTGATTTGAGATTTTTCTTTTTTTTTTAAGGTGTTTATAGCTATACTTTATTAGGACAGCATACCATAAGTTTGGGTATGCTCTGTTTTTGTTTTCATTCTCTAGGTGTTTCTAATGTCCCTTGTGATCTCTTCTTTGGCCAGGTGGTTGTTTAAAAGTGTGAGGTTTAATTTCCAAAATTAAACAGCACAGTTATGAATTTTCCACTTTTCCTTTTGTTATTGATTTCTGAATTCATCTCTTTGTGGCCAAAGATACTTCATGTAATACCTGTTTTTTAAAATATATTGAGATTTAATTTGTGGCCTAACATATGACCTGTCCTGAAAAATGATCCATGTGCTCTTCAGAAGAGTATATATTCTTACATTTAAATGTTGCCAGGTAGGGTATTCTTTATCTGTCTCTGTTGGTTTCTTGTGCTAAGTCCTCAATTTCCTTACTTCTGGTTGTTCTGTTGATTATTGTGAGTGGGGTATTGCAGTTTCCAGTTACTATCTTAGAACTGTCTATTTCTCTTTTCAGTTACACTGATTTTTGCTTCAGGTGTTTTGATGATATATATTAGATACATAAATGTTTGTTATATCCTCTTGCTTTCTTGTAACCTTTTTGATTTTGGTTATTTTTTATTTGTTTGGAATGTTTTTTTCTGTCTTTCATTTTGAACCTGCTCATTTCTTGATCTAAAGGGAGTTCATTGATGGCAACATACAGTTGGATCGCATGCATCGATCCATTCTGCTAATAATCTCTTATTTGGCTAGAAAGTTTAATTCATTTACATTTAAAGTAATTACTAATAAGGAGGGACTTCTGTTGTTGAACTATTTGTTTTCTATATGCCTTATAGCTTTGTAATTCCTCATTTCCTATATACCTGTCTTTTTTTGTGTTTAGTCAGTTGTTTGTAGTGAAATGCTTAAATTCCTTTCTCATTTACTTTTGTTTATATTCTTTAGCTGTTTTCTTTGTAGTTATAGATATTACAGTAACATTTTAAAGTTATAACACTCTAATTGAATTTATACTAGTTTAATTTTAATAACATACAAAAACTACTTCTTTACAGCTTCATCCTCACCCCTCTCAGTTGTTAATGTCACAAAATTATATCTTCATATATTGTGTGCCCAGAATCAGGAAGAAATAACTCTTTTAAATATATTAGTCTCTTAAATTTTATAAATAACAATATTTGGAGTTACAAACTAAAGTTATACTAATAATAACTAGGTTTTACTTCAGTAATTGTTTTTCTTTTATTTAAATATATTAGTCTCTTAAATTGTACAGAAACAAAAATTGCAGTTATAAACCATTGTTACAATGATACTGTTGTTATGGTTGCACGTGCATTTACCTTTATTGAAATTTTTATTTCTGTATATAGCTTTAAACTATCTACTATCTACTGTCATCTCATCTCATAAGAATGACTCGACCATTTTTTTGCAGAGCAAATCTAGTGGGAGCAAACTCTCTCATCTTTTGTTTATCTTGGCATGTCTTAATTTTTCCTTCTCTTTTGAATGACAGTTTTCCCAGGTATAGGATTCTTGGTTGACAGTATTTTTTGTTTAGAACTTTGATGATATTAATCTGCCCAAGGTCTTCTGGCCTCCAAAGTCACTGAAGAGAAGTCAGTGGATATCCTCATTTAGGATCTCTTGTTTGTAATGATTACCTTCTCTTCTGCTTTTAGGATTCTCTCTGAATGCCTTTGGGTTCATCTGATTTGTAGTTTGTTGAGCTCCTTGCATGTGTATATTCATGTCTTTTATCAAATTTGGATAGTTTTCACCCTGGCCAGGTAGCTCAGTTGATAGAGCATTATTGTCCCCATACACCAAAGCTTCAGGTTTGATCTACAATCAGGGCACATACAAGACGCAATCAATGAATGCATCAATAAGTGGAAAAACAAAACCAATGTTTTTCTCTCCCTGACTCCCCAAAATCAATAAAATTTTTAAAAATTGGGAAAATTCCAACCATAGTTTCTATAAATATTCTCTCTGTTCCTTTCTCCCTCAATGGGTATGTTGCTTCTCTTAATGGTGTTTCATGGGTCCCTTAGGCTCTGCTGACTTTTCTTCATTCTTTTTTCTGTTACTCAGACCTAGTAATTTCTGTTACTCTGTTTTCAAGTCCACTGATTTCTTTTTCTTCCTGCTCATCTGATTTTTTAATTCCTGTAGTGAATTTTTCATTGTAGTAATTGTACTTTTCAGCTCCAGAGTTTCCTTTTGGTTTTCTTTTTAAGTTTTTTCTTTTTTTATTGATATTTCTATTTTGTGCATACATTATTTTGTTGATTTTTCTCCATATCTTCATTTAGTTCTTTGAGCACCTGTAAGACAGTTTTTAAAAATTTTTTGAATTATAGTTGACATTCAGTATTGTATAACTTACAAAGTGAACCCCCCAATAAGTCTACTATACACCTGATGCCGTACATATTTATTGCAATATTGACTATATTCTCTATGCTATACTTTACATCCCTGTGACTGTTTTGTAACGGCCAATTTGTACTTTTTAAGACAGTTTTTAAAAAGCCTTTGTCTATTCTGCTGGGGGGGGTGGTTCTTTTTCAGTAACAGTTTCTGTTGATTTTTCCTCTTTTTAGCCAGTCTTACTTTACTGTTACTTTGTATGCTTTGGGATTTTTTTTGTTGAACACTCGTGTTTGAATCTAATAATGTTGTAACTTCAGAAATCAGATTGTCTCCACTCCACAGGTCTTCCTGATTTTGTTACATCGTCATCGTGATCATCATCAGTCTCTGTGTTGAGGATAAGAATAAGATACAAACATGTCTTCTCATGTCTTTTCTGAGCCTTTCCCTGAGTATAGATAGTCACTTTCTAATTTTTTCCATATATGTTGTTGTTGTTGAACATTTTAATCTTTAATGTCTGGGTTCCAAAATGGAAAAAAGTGGAAAATGACAGATTAAAAGAATGGCACTGCCCCTTTAAGTATCCTGGATGTCACTTCATTCTGATGGGGAAGGGCTTGCAACAATGAGAGAACATACAACAGCAGTGGCTACCCTCTTCTTTCTTTTTACCTCTATGTCCAGAAGCAGCAGTGATCAGAGCAGCTTGGATACCTGGTATTTGGAGAAGAGGATCCTTTTTACCCACCCTGGCTCCCACATTTTGTGTACACTGCTCTAGGAACACATGCCCAGCTCCCAGCCATGTCAGTTGGATGGGTTGCTGCTATTGTGCTAATAGTAGAAATTGATAGAAATTAACCACAATTTACTGTCCATGCTTTCCCCTGGAAGTTACAAGCCTTCAGTAGACTCCAGACTTACAACATAGTTACATCAGACAGATTTTGCCAATGCAGTTATTGTCCAGGTAGGAGGACAGATTCCTAGCAGTTCTTTGCCATCTTCCAGAATCCTCTTTAGTTGCGTCTTAATTTCTGCATTGAGCATCTTTGTAAAATAGATTCAGTAGCAAGACCTCTGTATTAATATAGGGTTGAAATACTCTTATTAAAATATAATAGCTCTTTTCTCCAGTTTGTATTTAAGAGATGCATTAGATGCATTTGATACATGTATAGTAATTTTTGGCATTTAACTTTTGGCAGGTGGTTTTGGAATGTATGCTTAAAAAGGACCTCATTTACAATAAGGTCACTCCAACATTTCACCACTGGAAGATTGATGACAAGAAATTTGGCCTTACCTTTCAAAGTCCTGCTGATGCTAGGGCTTTTGATAGAGGTATTCGAAGAGCTATAGAGGACATTTCTCAAGGTAACTTTTCTTGACTATTTTCTTAATTTGTTCATCAATTATATATAGTGGAGTTACAAAAGCAAGTCAGCTTTTGTGATATGTGATCAGGCTTTGAAAGTTCATTGTAGGTGAAGATAAAATAATGGACTTCTTAGTCTGTTTTATATTTGTTACATCACAATGTATACCAATTACATTTACTACCTTGAAGAGCCCAGCAGCAGCCTTCAGGTAATTTAGGTGTTTTCAGATAAGAGCTTAAAGAAGAGGGGAGCAGTCAGGTACAACTTTCAAAGTCCTTGTTTGTATGTTATATCAGTCATATTCTTATTTTAGTAATGATAAAAATAAAATTTCTAATGATAACATATAAGTAGACTTCATTTATTTTGTGGCAGAACACTTTTCTTTTTACCTGATTTCATTGTTGAGCATTGGCGGATACCACAACCCCATCTATCCGTTCCTAATATCTTTCTAATCTGTTAAGATGATTAATTCTGAAGTCTGCATGTTGTAAAGAGAGGAAGAGCATTATTTACATATAAGACTGGCTTCTGCATAATTAAACAAAAAGAAACTACATTCAGACCCATTTCTTCCTCTAAAACAGGTCAAAATTTGATTTGTTTTTCTAATTAAGAAGGAATGTTATCTCTATTAATAGCAATGACTTCTATATAAAATATCCAAATCAAGATATTAGAAACATTTTGATTTGTATATTTTTAATATAATACTATACAGAGAATTAGAAGAAATGAACTAATTATGAGACCATACACAAGAACATGGAAATACTTAGTATAGATTTGTATCGATAGTGCATGAAACTGTGGTTGACTAATCTATTTAGGTACTTTAAAAAAGTAGAGTTTGATAAATAATCATCTACTTCCAGTTCAAAAAAATTCTGTGAAATGATAGCAGTCATTTATTTTTATTATCAGTACCCATAAATTCTTTTTATGTCAGTGTTGTGATATGTGATCTTGGGCCCCTTTAATGTTGGCTGCATATATGAATTAACTAGGAGGTTTTTGAGAAATATAATAACTAGTTCCCACTCCTGGTCACTTGAATCAAACTATGACTCAAACTTATTCAAACTATGAATCAAACTAGGAGCTGACACTTTTTGTTTAAGTTCTAGACATTTCAGATGTGATGAGGGATTGTTATGCTAGCTGAATGATTGTATTATGACTTTAGAAAAACAAATGAATATGGATCCTCAGATTCTCTAGCAGAGGTTGTGGTTCTTAAATACTGCAAAAAACTTAAAAATAAAAAATACATCATTATCTATGCCTCACCTCACAGAGATTTCTGACATTAGTGGTTTGGTACTATACTCTAGTATCAGTATGTTTTTTAAAGTTTCCCAATTGATTTTGCTATTTAGCTAGTGGTAAAGAACCAGTACTTTAAAGAGAAAATCATTATTCAAACTCCTAGCCATGTAGAATAGGCTGCGGTATTCAACTTGTCTTATTATTTTTAAAAATTATTTTAATCATAGTGGTTAGCATTATTATCAGTCACCATATAAACTGATAGTTTCTCTACCTTAGCCTTCTGTGACAGTAAGGAGAATCTATGCAATGCTTTTCAAAGGGCTCATCTCCATGCTAGCTATATCTCTCAAGGGTAACATAAACTCAGAATTTATTGCTGGGACAAATCCCGTTTTTATTAATTTGTTGGAACTAAAGGCACTCTTGAACATAATGAAAATGCATACAGAGATATTGATGCACAAAGGTCAGTACAATTGGCCATTGACTATCAGTAGTAGAGTAAGGCTCTTTTGTTTATTTTTCTTACTATAGCAACTAAAATCTTACTTCTAGGTACTAAATACTGTTTCCTGGGTCAGAGTATTTTAAAAAATTGAAGAAATCATGCATGGGCATCACCTAAATGCCAGGGGAGTGTGATGTGTATACTCTAACTAGCAGTTTAAGTATTTCAAAGAAATCAGTAGCAGGGCTTGCTAGAAATAGTACACTTTCTCAGACACATACATACACACACACAAATAATAAAACATCTTTTTAGTAAGTAACTGGTAATTGACCTGCACAAGAGGAAAACATCTCTTTATTCTTTATTCTTCTAATAATGGGGCAAGTATGAGTGGCCAACATCTGACTGGTTGCCAGACAGCCCAGAATGGTCTCTGATTAGTCTCCTGTAGTATTGTAATCATATAATCAATGAGTCAATAACACTAAAATCTAAGGCAAAAATTCTATGTTTAATTAAACTTTTACCTGTTTTCTTAGGATGCCCAGGATTAAAAAATGAAACTGAAGGAGCAGAAGATGACTTACAAGTAAGTAGTTGGCTTGAAAGAAATTTTTTAAACATAAAAGATATAGAGGAAATGATGAGGCTTAATAAATAAATGACTCGTAAATTTTAAAGAAAATTTCTAAGACATTATATTTGTCAGGAAATATAAAGAAGCAGAACCAATATATGTATTTATGTACATATATAGAGAAAGTTGTTTTCATGTGGATATGTATATTTGTTTTGGTTTGAAGGAATTGGCTTGTGATTGTCAAGTCCAAAATCAGCAGTGTAGGCAGGCATGCTGGAAGTTCTGGTACTAGTTGATGTTTTGGTCATGAGTCAGAAGGCAGTCTCGAGGCAGACTTTCTTCTTGTCTTTAAGTGTTTTTATAATGAGATCCACCAACTTTATGGAAGGTAATCTTGACTCCGATTCTACTGGTTAAATGTTAGGCACATTGAAAATTATGTTCACAACAGTGTTGAGGCTGATGTTTGACCAAATACCTTGGCATCACAGATTAGACAAGTTGACACATAAAATTAACTATCACGTATATCTCACCCCTTAGGCAAGGTACTTCTCTAAAAAATTTACAGAAAAGGAATTGCAGATTTTTAATAAGCATACGGACATCCTTCTGTTTTATCTCACTGGTAATCAGCAATAAGTGTCAGTTGACATAATTTAGTTACCAAGTGACCAAAGGTTTAAAAACTGATGTTACCCCATACTGTGTCTGTCCGTTGAGATTGAGAGATTGTTGCCCTGTTGGAGAAAATGTAGATTGATAGATTCTTTCTAGAATGCAGTTTGGTAATTTGTTTTAAAAAGCCTTTAAATTAGAAACATTCATGCCTGTTAATCCAGTGCATCAATTTCCAGAAATCTATACTAAGGAAATAGAGATGCACAAAAAAATTTTATATGCAGATTTTTTAGGGTGTGTGTATAAAATATAAAAATAAACTAGCTAAATAGAAGAATGGGAATGGTTGAATTTAGGTATATTTTGTTATACAACTATTAAAATTTTATAATTTATCAACTTGCAATATGTTAAGCAATAACAACAGACAAAAAGTATATGGTGTTATCATTATTCAGCTAAAATGTTAATATTATTAGTTACTTTTGGATTTCGGGACTCTGAGCTACACCTTTTTTATTAGTACATCTCTGCATTTTTTAAGTTTGCTGCAATAACAATATTTTTAGAATGACACTAAAAGAACCCAAATTTGTATAAATATGTTGTATTAATGATCAATTATTTATGTTGTAAAAATAGTTGTGACCTAAAGACATGGACAAATATTTTATGTACATTTGCAGTCAGAATATGGAAATATTTTCATTTTATTTGAGAAATACAATAGTTTAAAGTAAAAAATAAATTGAGATCCATGATAACCACCATTCATATTTTTAGATACAGCCTTTGGGATTTTTCCTGTACACATAAATGTGTGCATACATGTATTATTGTATTACCATACTGTAATCTGTTTTTTTTATTTAAATAACATTTTCTGTTTTTCTAAATATGTTTTCAAGTTTAATTTCTATTAGTTTTGTTTTGTTTGTTTGTTTGTTTGTTTGTTTTTTAGTTAAGCTTATCCAAGGTTCCGTTTTGTTCTGGTATCAATCAAAATATGGGACTAGAAATGGGGAAACATGTTCTGAATTGCCTCCTATGATGAAAGTAAATTTGTTTAAAATTCAGCTTTAAAAGGTGGACCAAGAAATGTGGACATTGCTCATTCATAAGGTTGCCAGGAGTTGGGAGCCAACTAAATACACGTAACACACATACCAAAAAAAGGCGGGGAGAGATACTAAGAGGCTAGCAAATATGTTAGGTAAATTTTTCTGGGCAACCTATTTGAAAATTTTTCAAAAGCATCAGTGTCCAGTTCTTGCCAGTGTGGCTCAGTTGTTTGGAGCATTGTTAACCGAAAGGTTGCACGTTTGATTCCGGTCAGTGCACAAATTTATATTGCAGGTCCAGTCTCTGGTCTCGGCACACATACGGGAGGAAACCAGTCGGTGCTTCTCTTACTGATCTTTTTCTCTCCCTTCCTCTCTAAAAGCAATTAAAAAAAAAATGTCCTCAGGTGAGAAATAAAAAAATAAGAATCAACATCCAGAATTAAACTACCAAAAAAAAAACTTATAAAGTTACCATATTATTTCATGATATGGCAGTTTTTGCATGTCATTCTTATTTTGGAATAATATATTAGAGGTATAAAGTATTATAATTTCTTTACTGTATTAGGATAAAGTAAATCTTATTTCATAACTCACCTGTGGGTTTGGAATAAATATTTTGAAGTTATTTTGAGTACAGGTTGACTGATTTATGGAAGCGGTTATGCCAGGTTTATTACTTTTGGTGATTATTTTCAAAGGCAACTAAAATAGTTTTAAGAGAGTAACCCATTATCTAATTTTTTAAGCCCAAAGGAGGTGATGATTATGTTATATTTAGATCATAAATATTAAGGCATTAAACATCAGATTGGAGATTCTATCCATTTTGAGTATTTATTAATTCACTTAGCAAGTATTTGAGTACCTGTTTCAATAGCTATGCCAGACATTGATTATTTGCTGGAGGACAACTTTCTGCTTTCAGTATAACCAATATCCTTATCAATTATCATAAATCAACGGAAGACATTTACCTTCCTATTTCATATCTGCCTTTGAAGAGTTTCATAACACACTGTTTTTTGGATTTAGAATTTTATCTTGCCCATCTTTTATCCCTGATGTTTAGTACAGCATTGATCATGTTCATGGCTGTTACTTAAGAAAGGTTTATTGGAGAAAAAACTTCAAAATTAGGATTTTTTTAAACCTAAGCAGTAATGAGGTAGGAATGTTGTTTTCATTTAGTTTCTTTCTTTGACTAATTTAATGAGCCAGTTAAGGGTTTTTTACTTTGTTTTTTAATGCTTGCTTATATTTGTTTTAAAGTTAGTTTTATACTGTCTCTTTAACTGGAATTTTCCGTTACAATAGCTCTAATTGTTCAGATATGATAGATTGGCAGCAAAACCCATAAAGTTCACCTCATGACAAACTTGAGGTTGAAAGAGGAAAAGATCTCAGGTTTCATGCTTTTGGACAGCAGAAAGATGACACCTAATTGATCTGAAGTGAAAAGTTTTTGTATCTTTTCTTTTGGATGAGAAGTGCTTGACTAATTTATCCTTTTTTATATGGGGCAATGTCATTTCTGAGCCAAAAAAAAAAAGTCTTGTGATTTATATTTATTGTTTACAGCAATGACTTTTAATCTTTTCATCTCATGGCACATGTAAACTAATTACTACAATTCTGTGGCACACCAGAAAATACATATTTTGCCAATCTGACCTAAAAAACATATAATTTTGATTCATACCCACTGGACAGTTAATGTATTGTCCATTGTCATTTTTTTAATTTGACAGTCTAAGGGAAAGATTTCAGTGCCCCTGACTAACTAGTCAGGTATTGCATGTTTAAAAAATTGCTGCGGCACACTGGTTGAAAATTGCTGGTTTAAAGTAATTTTGCTCTGGGATAGGAGGATATAAATTGTTTGTGTGCTATTTTTCAAAGGTGGTAATATTTTAATGATGCTCTATATCTGAAAACTAAGTTAATGGAGATAGGTTTTATTTAGCTAGCAAAATGCGTTTTATATTTCAGTGACTTACTACCATTCTACATTAAGTACTATCCTATAGTTAAGTTCTCCAAATCTTAGTATATTTTAGAGTTTTATTTGTTATTAATAAGGGAGAAAAAAATATATAACCTTTTTGCAAATGTTTTGTCATTATTTAATTTTTTCCTTGATTCTTAGACTAGTACATCATGTAGAGTATCTGGATAGTTAGACAATTATAAAGAAATCAGGAATTGTTTCTTCACAACTAGAGATAACTGCTATTAATATTTTAGATACTCTAGCCTAGGTTTTTTTTTTTAATTCTTGCATGTTTTATTTAAATACATACTTCTCTTTAAGAGCACCATCAGGATCAATTTCTTCCATTTTTATTGTGTTTCGTTAGGATTTTTGTTTGTATTGGTAATGGTGGTGGTGGTGGTGGTGGTGGTGGTGGTTGAATTTTAATAGCATAAGTCATAAAATTTGAACTCATACATAGTCTGACTTCACAGTCTTTGAATTTAGTCATTGTATTGTGTAATAGAACTAGAGATTATTTAATCAATCACATTTCATTCACCACTTATTTTCCATAGCTTTTTACATTAATTTTTATTGGTATTTCAGAATGGGACCTTAGGATAAAATTTTAGAAATAGATTTGCGAGTTAAAGGATTGAATAAAAATTTATATAGCTATCAGGAACTATGTAACTACTACCTATTAGTTTAGATTTACAGACAATAAACAACCTGAAAATCAAATACTGCTTTTAAGTCAAACTAGTTTCATTAGTAAGGTAGTTCAGTTTTTCTGTTGCTTAATCTTGGTGTAGAAGACTTGTTTTATTTATTTATTTATTTTTGCTGGGCATTATATCTTGTTACATTTCTCCTATTCCTTTTATATTATTTCATCACTGGTTATTGTATTCTGATTACTTAAACAAAATACTATGTATGTTATTAATGTTTTCAGACAAAGCTCATAGACAAATGTGAAATTAAAAACTCTGGGGTAATTATCTTAAACTAATCAAAAGTAACTAAAGAAATCTAATGAACTAATAGGAGACAGTCAGGTCAAATCTAAAATGAATTGGTATTGGATTGTTTATGGAATTGTTAGTCATTTTTCTTTCTTCTCTGTGCTAAGTTTGCATAATTTGAGTATATAATTTTAAATGCCAGAAATAACTTTGGTAGCATTTTCAACATACACAGTGCTAAAATATAACATTTCTTTATTGAAGAACATTTTAAAATTCTTCAGTCATGCTACAATAAACTAATAGTATAATTATTAAAAACAACTATTGTTGGATATAATGCATCCACACATTTTGAAACCTTGATTTGTGATAATG